TTGCTCTGATCATCTCATGGACTCCTTCAGATCATATTTTCCATGTCATCTATGCTAATCTTTCTTATCTAAGTCTATGTAGCACTGTACAAAATGTTCAGTCTTCATTGCAAAATTACTCCATTTGAGTTAGACCTAAAAGCATTATTGTGTCATGTCAGAAAAGGACCCAAAGTAATTACAAGCTAGTCCTAGCTCTGTTAACCACCTGAGTCTCAACCATGATAATAAATCCATTAAAAACACACAATATCAATTATTGTATTATTAACTTGCACAAACAAAAAAAGCATGATTCAATTATTATTTTGATGTTTACAAACAAATCACACCAGTCACATCCAGTTAATTTTAAAGAATAGATAAAATTCTCTTTTATTCTGGTGGTATGGTTCTGTGGGATTTTTGAAGGACTATCCTGAGAAACTAACTTTTGTGAGTTTTTGGAGTACACTAAAGCTTTATAAATATGCTTAGATTAGATCTTTGAAAAACAAAAATAGGTCAAATAACCCAAGTAGTTATCATCTATGATCATTAGATATGTACATACATTTAATAAGGAAAACATCCATTCTTTGAGACAGAACAGAAAAAAAATTCAGTTGACTGATAGGAGTTTCTGACTTGTAAGTTTAAAAGAGATTTAAAAAATGATTTTAAATAATAATTATAAGATCTAGCAGAATTATTTAGAAAAGATAATAAATGCTTACTATTCTTGAATTAAACATAAATCCTCTCAGAACATGAAGTATTATTTTTTTTGGTTGAATTATTGTGCTTCCATATGAGTAGTGTGTTTTGCTTATTGAACAATTTGAGTTTGTGTTTTTTTATGTATTTCATTTCAATGCTATATCATCAGATAGTTCAACAGAAGTGTGAACAAATATTATCTTAAATACATATATTTTCCACATACTTGTAGAAATTTGTGGTTTGATATGTAGACCATGGACCACAATTAGGTTTGGTGTCAAGATTTGTTGATGTTACTCTTAGCCAGAGTTTAACAAATCTCACCTAGATGTATTTATTACATTTTCAAATAATTTTGGCTACCAAAAATTTTTAAACATATTATTCTTGCTTTAGTGATTGTATTAGGATGGTGAATATACCAAGAATATAGTGTGCTAGACTTTTGAAATAATAAAAACGTTCTTCATGGGATTTTCAGTGACAAGATTTAGAAATAATGAAATGATAATTCATTTTTTTTACTCTCAATTAAGAATGCATTTAAAGGAAGAGGTCAAGGAAAGCTATACTTCTGTTTCCTAATGGATGCACTTTTAGAATAGGGTTAAAATATATGATGAGAGCCTTGCTGGCATGGCTCAGTGGTTAACCATCAATCCTGACCATCAGGATTCCTGGTAAAGGCAAATGCCTGGGTTGCAAGATTGATCCCCAGTGTAGGGTGTGTCAGAGGCAGCCAATCAATGATTCTCTCTCACCATTGACATTTCTTTCCCTCTCCCTTCCTCTCTAAATCAATAACAATATTTAAAAAATAGATGAGAAAAAATAATACTTCTTGGATTAAAACCCGGAAGAGCAATAATTAATCTATTATGTATTCAGAACTGCAGTATAGCAAGATATCCAGAAAAAAAACACAAGACACAACTTTTGTTTTTTAGCATCTAAATGATGCTTTTCAACATTCTGCTAATCCTTTTAGCAGAAAGAAATGGAAAGGCAAGAACACATTTAAAACAATCTATATCAGTATTTTCTTACTATTGCCCTATATACTGATAAGCAAATAGAGACATATTGAAAGCAACACTTTATTGGTCTAGACAAAAAGGACTTATGATCCTTTTTCTAGTCTTTTCTGTTGTTTTCCTTAAACATAAAATTAATTGCTAAGTGAGGGACAAACATCCTTGAAATTTCTATTATGAAATTAGAGCAAAACCAAAATCAGATTTTGTTCCCCATCTTTTTCTTGTTTATTTCTTGGGTTGGTAGCAGACCTTGGTGGTTTCTTTGGCTAAAAAGCTAGGTGGGTGGTTTCATCCCTGAGTATTTAAAGCAGCTCAAGCTTCCTGCTATATGTGCATGGTTCCTTGGGTTTTGCATTCTTCTTCACAAGTGGAAGGATAGTCAGTGAAAGAGGCCAGGAAGCAATACAGAGGCAGGAGGAAAAAGGAACCTGGGGCCAGAAACATGTTTAAGTTTGTAGGTTTAGAAGACAACATGTTTTAGAGAAAGATTGAACAACTTGTTTTTAACATCTTGAGTCATAAGATGTAACTTGCAATATCTATGCCAGAGACAAAAGCCTGGATTACTAATCCTTTCTGGCTACCTGGTTCTTCCTCTTTTCTCTCTATAACTTCTACTTACTTTTTGTTGTTGTTGTGGGCAATCTGTTTGAATGTGCCTGAGAACCCAAAATGTGAGGTATCCTAACACGTGGCCTATTTGCCCTTTGGTTTAAGGTGAGAAAGCCCATGGGGCAGAATCCCCACATTGCTACTTTTGCAGTGCTCATAGTTAATGCCTTTTGTTAAAGAATACTCATCCCTATGTTTTGCCATCAGCTGATGCCAAAATTAGATAACCACAAGAATATCATGCAGGAAAGGCTTGAGCCTTAATCTAATATTTTAAAACAAGGCAGCCAATTAAAAAAATTACTTTTTTTTTTTTAAAATAAGTAATTATGAGATTTTATGCTTTATTTCTTTCCTGGAATGATTTTATTATTGACAACAGATTTGGCATTTAACCTTAATGATATGACAAAGAAAAGGTGCAGGAAATTTATGATCTTCAGTTTCCCTGCTATCTTTTGTTAATCTTTATGGGCAGGGAAGATGAATACCTGTACCAGGTAGAGGCAGAGAGCTCCCACGACCCTTATAATGGCAATGAAGATAGAAAGGATGCCCCTTTTGCTTAAAGTAGATAATATTTTGAGGAGAAAAACAAATTATTAGAATCACCAGTGCATGATTTCATTTCTTATTACCTAACCCATCTTATTTCCTTCTCTTTTTGAGACATCACTCCACACTTTAAGAATTAGCAATTAATTCCCTAGCCGGTTTGGCTCAGTGGATAGAGCATCAGCCTGTGAACTGAAAGGTCCCGGGTTCGATTACAGTCAAGGGCACATACCCAGGTTGTGGGCTTGATCCCCAGTGAGGGACTTGTAGGAGGCAGCAGATCCATGATTCTCTCTCATCATGGATGTTTTTATCTCTCTCTCCCTCTTCCTTCCTCTTTGAACCAATAAAAATATATTAAAAAAAGAATCAGCATTTCAAAGACCATTTCAAGTAAGTGCAAGAATAAGAAAACCCTTAGCCTAACAATCCCAAGAAGTCTCTCTGAATCAATGTCTTCTTAGTTTCACTGTTCCTCAGTTCTCTTTCCTAACCCAAATCTTTCAAGTATTTTTCCTTCTGCTCCAGTTTCTTTTATTTGTTTCTTCCTTACTGATCTTGGAGCAACATCTTTAGTCATGGAAGAGTAGAAACCAATGGGACTTATAAGAAAATATATCAATAAAAGGAAAACAATTGGCAAGATCAAGATGAAGTGTAGGGAAAGCCAGTGTCCTAGAGTACCAGAGTGGTCTTTACTGTTGCCCACACTGGATTCACAGGTGAGAAAGACAGGACCCCTCTCTGTGAGCAAGGGCATCCCAGGCACTGAATTGTATAGTCAGGCTAAGGCTGCTATAACACAGAAAAGGGAACTTCTCCCTTAGATAGTGGTTCCAGCTTCTACAACAGACGCTTTGAGAATGCTTGGCATTGGCTGGCAGCATATGCAGTTTGAATCAGTGTGACTGTAAAGATAAAGTGGCTTCTCAGAGTAGAATTTCCACTACAGGGAATGTGGGATCCCCTGGGTTGAGGAATTAAAAGGAAATTGCCTATGACCTGTTAGTTGGCGATCTGCTGGGAACCCTGTTTCATCTACATTGCTAATTATAGCCCAAATTAAACTCAGTCAAATGTTCACATGAAGAGCCTCACCAGAATGAATTTACAAATTCCATAAGATCAAAAGGAGTCTCATGTGTAAACCCACAGCTCAAACATCTGACCCTCTTTACATCCACTTTCCTTCAAGAGTCCTAGTAAAGAGGTTATGCATCTTCGATGCATAGAGAGCAACTTGCCTGGGTTGTTAATTTTCCTCTCAGTGAATTGCATAGGGAAAATTAGAATCTGTTTAGTTGAGTGCGTATGTAAATATATGAGATGCCCACAAAATTTGAAGAGGAAGTCTTCAGTGATGACCAGTTTCTATTCTGAAAACAGAGAATGGAAACACTGAAGAAGTTGCCACTTCAGTTAAGATGATAAGTTTGGTTGCAGGAATATTGAATTTAAACTGCTAGGAAAAATAGAAAAAGAGACCTGGATTCCAAGAAAGTTTGGAGGTAAAAAAAATAAGGGACATGAGCATTAAAAAGGTCATTGAAATATGATAAATATTTCAATGATCTTTTTAATGATAAATTAACTCATTGTAAGAAAATACAAGGTGAGAAGCGGAACTGAGAGGCTCCCATGACTCCAACTATCATAGATCCTGAGAAGCCCACTGCCTAGTGTGAGCTTATTTTCTTCATTTTTAATATGGGGCATGGCAACTTCCTCAGAACATGAGGATTCACCAGTAGAAATCTTCTATAAAATGACTCCCTAACCTGCTTGGTGTCTTTCCACCCATCACAGGCCAAAACATCTTCCCAGGCAATCAGAAGGTCTCACGCAACAATGCAGAAGACAACCAGTAATGAGTAGTATTCTTGTTACTATTCTCCCAGTTCTATTAAGGATTTATTTATAATCACAAGATAGAGGAGCAGAGTCCTTAGTGCCACTCTGCCAAGGATCCAATTGGCCCATCCTAATACATTGAATGCCTTTACTTCAAAATACCCTGCCTACCCTCTTTATACTATCCCAGTGAGTCTGCATCCGGTGGCAGAAATTGGAAGATAGGTTTCCAGGAAAACTTACCCTGGGGTCTCTCTCCAGCAGATGCTTGTGATGTAGACTGCGTTTTCTCCTGGCCTTTGCCAGGCCATTGTGATAAAAGTGGTACAGGCCTTCAGTGAAAGGGAGCTGTGAAGAGTCAAACAGACATATGAAAATGGTTAGCTTCTGAAGGTGGCCCCAGAACAGGGACATCAAGGCTGGAGCTGCATGTTGAGGCTCTATAGGATAGAAGTGTTTATGAGAAAACCACTGACAACCTTCAGAAATAGAGGACTATTCAGACTTGATCCTCTATTTCCCTATCACTGTACTCCTTCCCTTTTTTCTATCTTTTCTTACAATGTACCTATTACCCTTCCCTCCACAAATACTTTCTACTCTTTCCTCCATTTCTTTAGTTTCTACCCATCTTTAAATTTTCTGTTCTCCTCCATGGAGCCTTGCCTTTATATTCATACCTACACCAACTTCTCTATTCTTCTCTCAGACTAGTGTTTATAATCCATATTGGATTGCTCCAGCATTGTGTTATGACCTAGTTCTGTCTTCTTCACAGCTAGATTATCTGTCTTATGTCTTGGACTTTCTCTGTGACCCCTTGATGCCTCTCATCATGCTGGGCACAGTGTAACCATGTAAATCTAGTTAGTACCTGCTGGATGACAGGCCAAGTTTCCCTCTATCTCCTTTTCCTAAAGATCCTTAGTATTAGATATGAGTGTCAGATCTAGTTAGAGAAACCACAATGGTAAGAGCTTGCCTGGGACTCAGGGCCTATAAAGATCTAGGTGAACCTAAAGAGAACTGTCACTGGTTCTATGATTCAAGGAAATTTGGTGAGGAAAATCTTGACATAGGAATTAGGAAGCCTGGATGTGGCTTGTGTCTATTACAATCTAACATTAGGCAAGTCATTTCTCCTCTGGGGATATTTTTCTCTTCTCCTTTATGAAAATGGAGCCTCAAAGTTCTCTGTATATCTTCATATTTATAAATATGATATGTTAGCAAATAGAGATTGTTAACAAAGACATAGATATTATTTAAAAAGAACAAAATATAAACTTTAGAACTAAAAGTACAATAATTGAAAAAACTTTTTCAGTGGAGCGTTTCAATAGCAGATTTAAGTTAGCAGAAGAATCAGCATACATAAAGATAAGTCAATTGGGATTATTGAGTATGAAAAATAGAAAAAAGAATAAATAAAAATGAATACTCTTGTGGGACACTATCAGGGATATTTATATAAACATAATGGTTGTTTCAGAAGGATAAGAAAGAGAAAGGAGCAAAAACAATAAGAAAGTAATAATGTTAGAAAACATTTCTAATTTTATGAATTTAATTACAAATTAATTATACATTTAATAAAATTAATATAAACACCCAAGCTTAACAAATTCAAAGCAAAATAAAATCAAAGAGATGCATAACTAGACATAGCATAGTCAAAATTTCGAAAGTCAAAGTTAAAGAGAGAATCTTGAAAGCAGCACAGTAAGAAAAAAAATATATGAGATGTCACTAAGATTAGCAGTGATTTTTTTTTTATCTGAAGCTATGCAAGTCAGAAGGCAGCTAAGCAGCATGTTCAAAGTGCTGAAAGAAAAAGATGGTCAATTAAGAATTCTATATTTAGTAAAACTATCCTTAAAAAGTGAAGAAGAAATTCATACATTCCTGGAAAAACAAAATACAGATAATTCATTGCTAGCACATTTGCCCTGGTGCAAGGGCTACTAGCAGTTCTTTAGACTAAAAGGAAAGGACACTAGACATTAATGTGAACACACATGAAGAGATAAATATCAACAGTAAAGGTAAATAAATATGTAAATATAAAAGATAATGTAAATGTGTTTTTGTTTGTAACAACCTTTTTCTTTCTATCTGATTGAAAAGATAACTACATAAAACAATAATTATACACCTATGTTTATGGGTTTATGATGTATAAGAATATAATATTTACAATGATCACACAAAAGAGAGCAAAGGGAACATAGTTACATTGGAGCAAAGTTTTTATATACTTTTGAAATTAAGTATACTTTTTTTACTAAATTGTTTATAATGTTAATTGTAATCCAAGAGTAACCACTAAAAATAACTAAAAATATAATAAAATAAACAACAAAGTACTAAAAATGAACACTAAAATATTTGACATAAAATAGCAATTTTTGAGGAATAGAGAAACAAAAATTATCTAAGATATATAGAAAGAACATAATGAAATGCCAAGTGTAAATCTTATCTCATCAACTGTAAATGAATTGGAAACTCTAATAAAAATTGGAAAATGACAGAATTGATGAAAGAACTCAACTTCATTATTCTACTATATGCTACCTGTAAGATCTATATTTTATATTCAAATATATAAATAAGTTGGAAGTACAAGGATGTATATATATATATATATATATATATATATATATCTCCCTCTACTTATACATAACCATAACCATAAGGTAGGAGGACTGACTACAAATATATTTGACAAATATGATTTTAAGGAAAAAATTGTTATTACAATATATAGACAAGTAATGTCTTTTTATGACAATAAAAGAGTTAATCCATAGTAAAAAGAAAGGAATGTAAACATATATGCATCTGGCTACAAAGCCCCCAAATACCTAAAACAAAATCTAATATAATTAAGAGAAAAATATGACAATCCATCACTAATAGTTGGAGACTTAAGCTCATTTTCAACAATGTATGAAACAAGCAGGCAGAACAAAAAGTAAGTTGGATACTTAAATAAAACTATAAACCAATCAGACTTAACAGATGTCTATAGACCATTTCACCTAAAAACATCAGAATACACATACTTTCAAGTACTTGTGAAACTTGTTTTATTTTTTAAGATGAATCATATTTTAGGCCATAAAACAAGTCTCATTAAATTTTAAAGGAGTAAATTAACAAAGTATGTTATGTAATAATAATTTCTAATTACATTAAAAATTAATAGAAGATAAATTGGGCCAAAACTGGTTTGGCTCAGTGGATAGAGCGCCAGCCTGCGGACTGAAAGGTTCCAGATTCAATTCCGGTCAAGGGCATGTGCCTTGGTTACGGGCACATCCCCAGTGGGGGGTGTGCAGGAGGCAGCTGATCAATGAATCTCTCTCATTGATATTCCTAATTCTCTCTCCCTCTCTCTTCCTCTATGTAAAAATACCAATAAAATATATTTTTTAAAAATTGGAAAATTCAAAAATAATGTAAAAATTAACATACTTTTAGATAATGAGTCAAAGAAGAAATCACACTGAATAATAGAAAATACTTGGAATTGAATGAACATAAAAACACAGAATCAAAACTTATAGAATGCAGTCCAAGTAATGCTTAGAGAGAAACTCATAGCTGCAAATGCTCAAATCAATAACCTAACTTTGAACCTATGAGACTAGAAAGAGAAGAACAAACTAAATTCAAAGCAAACAACAAGGAAAGTTCTAATAAATAAAATAGAAAATAGAAAAAGAATATAGAAAATAAAAAACCAAAAGTTATTCTTCGAAAAGTTCAATAAAATTGCTAATCATCTAGAAATACTGACCAAGAAAAGACTCAAATGAGCAAACACAGTAATGAAAGAGGAGACATTATTAACCACCCAGAAATACTTTAGGGAGTACCAAAAATAATTGTATTACAACAAATTAGAAAAACTTGGTGAAATAAATGAACTTCTAGAAAGACATAAATTTCCAAAATAGATTCAGAAGATAAAATATTTGAATAAGGAAAGAGATTGAATTGGTAATTTAAATATTTTCTACAAAATAAAACCCAAGGCCTATATGACTTTACCAGTGAATTCTAACAAATGTTGACAGAATTTATACCAATTCCTCATAAAATCTTTCCCCAAAATGGGAGATGAAGGCATACATCTCTGCTTATCCACTGAGGCTAATATTACCCTCATACAAGAACCAAAGGTATCACACATAAAATGAGAAAATTACAAATTTAGATAACAAAGTCTTCATCAAAATATGAGCAAACTGAATCCAGCAATATATAGAGTTATGCACCATGACCAAGTCAAATTTATCCCAGGAATGCAAAGTTGTTTTAAAAGTTGAAGATTAATGAATCTAACAACCATATCAGTAGAATAAAGGACAAAACCACATGATTATCTCCATAAGAGCAGAAAAAGCATTTGACAAAATCTAACCCTTTTATGATAAAAAGAAAACAAAAAACAGAATGGAAGGAAATATCGTCTATCTGATAAATGTGTCTAAAAATCCACAGCTGACTTATGTAATGGTGAAAGGCTGAATGATTTCCCCTTAAGATCAGAACAAGACAAGGATGTGTGCTCTTGCCACTTATATTCAACAGGGTACTGGAGATTCTTGCCAGGTCAGTTAGGAAAGAAAAAAGGAAATAAAGGCATCCAGATTGAAAAGGAAGAAATTTATCTCTATTTGCAGAAGACATTAATGTTAGGGGCAGGAATAGAATTAGTGGGGACTAGCTATAGTTCTAAGAAATATTAATCATGCTCTGTGAATATATTAATTGTTCTGTTAACTGTGACTGTTCTGATGAAAGAAAGCACATTCTGACCCAGCTGAGAGTAGTACACCCTGAGACATGGGAGTTAACCTTGGAATGTAGTAATTCTCCTATCATCATGGAAAAATTAGCAACTTTGTTGCTGAAGCAATCTGGTGTGGAGGGGCACTTCCAAGCCTGCCTTACCTGTAACCATTTTACCTTACCTACTTCCCCGTGCTTGTAATTCCTACTTTCTCATGTAATCTTTGTCCTTCTACCCAATTTAAGCAGCTGTCTTATGGGGAGGAAGGGGATAGAGCAGATTTTTGAGGATGACCTGCTGCTCTCCCATACTATTGACATTATTGGAATAAACACTCATATATGATTCAACCTTCTCTCTGCTTAATTACCTCAAGTAGTGACTGACAGCCCGGACCCATTAGTGGTCTGGTTTCATGACTTTTGTACATTTTTCTATTCTTTGTCATAATTCAGGCATTGTATTTGGTGCTAGAGAGACAAACATAAATACGAAATGTCTCAGCCTGCAAATAGCTCATAATCCACTGGAGAAATCAGATTTG